CCCCTCGTCGGATGCCGAGACATATTCCGTCCACACGGCAAGCGATCCATCTCCCACTGGTGGGCCCCGTCGCTCAGCCAGACTAGCAGGAACTCATCTACCGCGACAACTTTCCACCGCTGCACCGCTTCGCCGATCGGCACGACTCAATTCCACTCAGCGTAGTTGATCACAGGTTACAGCCGAGTTTGACGGAAAATGCGAAAAGCGAGTGAATCACACGCGAGTACACGTGACCAGACACTCGGCATCGTGATCGGCAACAGAAGTTATACCCGTTATAGCCGTGATATACAATTTTGAAGCAAATTAGCAAGAAATGAAATACCGATGGTTAAACTCCGAAGTACAACGCGACCGTTTCATCTCGTAAGTGCTGGACACCAATACACCATAGCCAGTAGCTATTGACTGCTTCGCTGATTCCGAAAATGTCTGAGCTCGAAACTGTAGTGGTAGATAAAAGTTCTGTTTTCATGATACCTAACGGCGGTGACCAAAGAAACAGAGGATTCATGAAGGCGGGGAATGTTGGCAGAAAAGCCGCAGGCAAGAGACTGACAAACTCTCGTGCTTGTTAACTTACTCTGGGAACCAATATGTTGGCCCTGGGAACCTCAACAGCATTTCTAGGACCTTTTTATCCCCTAGGAAATGCTCTTTAGCTCCTGGGGCTATTTCTAATTCTAGGAAAATGAGATCTACCCCTGGGATCTTCACTTTACGTTCCTGAGTAAATACGAAACTGGCTCTGGGAATACATTGACCAGATCTGGGAGCTGTGGAACCCTGGGAGCTTACTTTAGGGTCCTAGAGTCACTATCTTGCCTTCCGAGATCGCCGAAAGCCCTCACAAAAAACCTTCACCGGATCTGCGCACAATTCTGCGTCGTTCGGTCACTCCTAGAAGGCCAAATTGTCGCCCCAGGAATCAACAAGTCGTCAACGGAAACGCGGTTTTGATTCCCCGAGGTGATGGTACTAGACCCCAGAAGCTACATCGGGTTTCCTGGGGGCTACGTGGCTCCTAGAGGCTGTTTTTTTGCTCCCAGAAACGTCTCAGAGGTTTCCGGGAGCAAGAGAACTCCCAGGGTCAAGAGATAAGTTCCTAGCACCAATGAAACCATCTACAGGGGCGTGACCTGTTTCTTAATGGCGATGAAGAAAATGTGCATGTTTGTATCTGGATACCGCTATGTATATCTAGTTGCTGGTTATACGGACAGAGACAGAAAGTGTGCATAAAACAAGGAAAGTTTTATCTAAGTTCCGGAGTTGAAGGCCATATAAAAATGATTTCAGACCAAAGTACCCCTAGAGAGAATAATTTTTCGCTTGATTCGGGAGGCAGCACTCCAATGGGACGACGCCTGTTTGAGCACCACTTTACGTGCGGGTGAGAAGTCGAACACCACTGCAGGGAGTTGCATACAACCAACCCCCAACTTGCAATCTCAAGCACGGTTGCTACATCGACATAGCTTCTTACTCCCAAATACCAACAAGGCGATCCGTTGTATGAGATTTCTCCGTCCAAATGATAACAAAGAATATCGAAAGACAAAAAAATGCGCTAGGACAAGCAGGCAGACACTCGGAGCAAATTATCCGAATTCGGAACTGATTCTGGCAGATTCCTAGGGTAATAAAATACCCCTTGAGCCTGCCATTGGTATTTGCATTACACGTGCTCCCGTGATCGGCTAGCTGTTTGTCGTCGAGCTCGAAGACCGTCGGAAACTCAAGAAGTGTCATATTATTTGTATATTCAATCCCTGGAACGACAATATAACGCACAAACCAACTCGCAACAACAAAGGGCGTATTCAATCACCATGGCCCAGTCTTCCGAATATAGGAGTTTCCTTACTTACTTTTCCTCAGATTGGGACAAGGTCTCGAATACTATCATATCGATGGAAGTCTTCAAGAGAAGCGCCCAAATTGGAAAATAAAGCATAGCTACAACACAGGCTATTACTACTCCCTGACTGAAATCATAGAACATTATGCAAAATCGAACACAAATTACGAATCAGCATGAGTCCATCAGAACACCCGTTCAACTTGACTCAATTGCATTTCTGTCCTCTTCTTTTCCTGATGTGGCGTCAATACATATAATGTTCAAAAAGGAAATAAACCAGACATTGAAAACATAACTAAGAGAAAGCCAAAAATTCCATGTAGCTGCAAAGTAGTGAAGGGTATGTTTGGTACATCCCGAGAGTTACATTCCGAGAGTTGCACTTGTTCTTCATATTTCCTCAATCCGCGGAACAATCAGAAGAAGGTGTGGTCTGGGAGGTAGTCGAAGATGACTCCGACACTGATGATGAAGACCTCGGTGTCGTCAAAGCGGAGGACGCCTTGGTGGAGGATATTGTGTCAGTAGCAATACATCGGCTGCCATGCTTGAGTCCGTTGTCTAATGTACATGACGACGTTTCTCCCTGGTGATTGGAGAAGGTGACCACCCCCGCATCCTTCACTTGAATCCATGCAGCTGACGACTTGTCTTCCGTGCCACAAGCCTCTACCCCGTGCACAGGGTAGCGATGGGTGCGGTCTCCGACTTCGTTCACCGCTGCGAGTTTGTTAATAACTCTTTCTGCTGACTCTTATGCCAGAAGTCCACTTACTTGAACACTTTCCTCCCTCAAGGTGGCCAAAGAATGCTGAAGATCCGGTGCAGCCATGGTTGTCATAAGACCATATCGCGCACTGACCATCAACATCAATGATCTCCAGGGTGCCGCCGAGAGATCCGCCTGCATAGGCACTAGCGAGGACCATGGTGATGGAGAAACGCATTTTCCTTGTCTCTGAGGGATTATAGGAGCTTAAAATTCGAAAATATCCTGTGTGCTGCGTCTCGTGTCCTGTATTTCTTACCCGATTGATTTGGTGTTGTGTGTAGTTAAGCAAAACGAGGACGGATAACAAAGACTTTTATAGAATTATCTTGAGATTTCCGAGAGGCTTCAGGTTGCCTGTAAGTGGCAACTATTGAATTAAAAATGTCAGTCTTCTGGCCAAAACTGAGGTGCATCGGAGATCATTACTTTAGTACAGTTGCTTATTGAGGCCGATTATGCAGTCAAGAGGGGATTATATTAGTTTAGGCCAACTAAGGCAAGGTCAGCTTCACCAATATTCCTCGGCATATTATGGCTAGAACATGCGGGCAACCTTCCAAACTGACGAGCTCCTGAATTCTGAAGTAATTTCTTCAACGTCTCACCAGCTCACACCACATAGGGCCTCTGAAGACCAACGGATGCTTGTAAAGTCTTATTCCGTCCCGTCGTGGGCGGAGAAGTGGTGGGTTGAGTATACATGGTGGACTCCTGCGGCGTAGGAGGCTGTTATCGACGTGACGTGCCGCGTCTACGATAACGCGGGGCGCGAAATGCACAACCATAGATTTTGACCTTGGTCTTTGTCCATTCTGATAGAGTTATGCTATTCATATCCGAGGACGCATGTATTCAATTACAGTACGAGGGGTATCAGGCCGCATGTGTGGTCGGCGGTCTTGTTCCGGAAGTAGGCCGACCCAGCCTTGCTCCCAACAGCATTATGTGTTGAACGATCCAATTCATGTTTGTGAGGCACTACAACACGGTGCGGGTGAGTTTCCTCTGGCTTTTTGTTAGCCTTCTCGTCTCTTCAACCCAACAGTCGGCTGCATACTGTATGTTGTGGCCGGCAGCCGCAGTTTGCCGAGGCCATGAAACACGTACTGATACAACAGAATGCCCTTCAACTTTACTCCTGTGCTTCCAAGTAGCACCACCTGCATCACTAAAATGAAATGAGTGCCGCCAGAAAGCACATGGATGGCAGAAAGCATATTCATATTTTATACTTTGGGAGATATGGGACATCCTCTCCCACGATTACTATATAGCCTATGATCCCCCAGCTTGGTCATTGGCTCTGAAAGTTTCTTTCTCGCGAACCTGACCTTTGGCTTTTTCGAAGTGTCTAAAAACCATGTCCTCTCAATCCACCACAACCATGGATGGAGAATTTAAACGCCTCAAAAGTATCCAGATGAATAAGGTGGACAAGAACATTATGGCTTTCCTCGAAGCAGCTCAGAAGTCGGTCCAATCCCATGGCATATGCAACTCAAGGGGCCCTTTCAAGAGGTCTCTAATCCATTACGCCGCTATGGGGGACTGTACTGAGCTTCTCTTACGACTTGTGGAGATTGGTGCGCCAATTGACGACCACGATCAAAACAAACGTACCCCTCTCTCCTGGGCTGCTCAATACGGCTCTTACAATGCGACGAAAATTCTGGTGGAAAACGGAGCCCAAGCCAATGCTCTCGACGATATGTACGGGACACCACTGTCGTGGTTGAAATCATTTTATCTACGACCAATCAATTCATCCTGTCTTAGTTGGTTCCGCCGATCCTCATTCGCCAGAGGGCATACTAGCAGATACGAGATTACCTCGCTCTGATAGTTTATGAGCCCGACTGTCGCCTCGCGCTTGCTGGTACCACAAGGTCTCAGGTTCGAATCCAGGAGAGGAAAAGAAGAGAACCAAGCCATCAAATAATATTGAAGCCGTGCGAACCATAGACCGGAAGTCATGTTGAATCCGTGGAACTATAGATTGATGGGGCTTGTTGCATCCGCCTCTTCCTAGGCAGAAGAATATGGCCTAGTATAAGCCACAATATCCGTCCAGGATCCCTCTCATACTAGCACTTGACCACATATTCGCTGGATCCTGAGGGGGTGTGTCGAAGCAATAAATGACTGTATAAACTAAGAATGTCGCCCATGGAGCATTTTTAGTCTAGCGGTATTATGCCCCACAATTTGTGCGACAATTTGCCTCCCGTCTCCGATCATTCACTCCTTTTTCTTGGAGCAATTGCAACAGAAATAACAAAGCGCCACAGTCTGCATGGTCCACTCTACACAAAGGGATTCCTCCGTTCCACCGCACTCGCAAGAATAAAACCTCCAAGCTCCTCACCTCCGCACCCGCGGCAAAATCAACCTCCCATGCGAAAAAATGACATTATCCCCCGCAAACCGCTCCGCAGTCCGATCCCCACCCTCATGCCTCATCGGCGGAATCGTAGCTGGCGTATTCACATGCCCAATCTCCAGACTCAAAGATTGACCCTTATCAAACAAGAATGCAGCCGGGTACAAGGGAACTAGCACCCTGTATACCTTTCCCTGGGTAACCTCTGATCGAGGGACATTAGGCTGATCGATGACCCCCTTTTCCAAGAAATTCCGTGCAACTTCGTCCCGGTGCGAGAGGCGGAAGTACCCCCGCGCAAAACTGTCCATGGGTTCGCCGTGGTTGCCGGAGAGGATGATGGGTTCACCGTTGGCGTCGATGGCGCGGAGGTAGATGAAGAGGTCGAGGTCTTGGGCCGCTGTGCTTACTTCGAGGTTGAGGTAGGGGGAGCCGAGGAGTTCGAAGGGTTCCGGGAAGGGGGATCCGAGGGTGAACTGAAGATTCGTGGACTCGGGGTCGTAGCCTTTTGTTTTGAATGTGGTGCGGTTCTCACCAACCGGGTTTGTTGGTAAAAGGTTCCGGTCTGGCGTTAGGTAGAAGACGGCATCTTCTGCGTCTGGTGGAGGAAACGCGGTTTCAGTCTCTCGGTAGAGTGTATCTTTGCCGTGTTGCTGAAGGAGACGGAGACGAGGCACATCGAGCATCCCGTTATCCTTCTTATCAAAGAGAAAGTAGTCGAGGAACCTCCTCTGCATCTCAATGTGTTCCGGTTCGTAGAAGGCCCCGAGGTGGTTCCCCGTATGCATCTCCAGCCACTTATACTCCGACGAAATACCATTGAATGCGCGAATGTTTCCCGCAAGGTGCAGTTCAGGATCCGTCCAGTTCCCAGATAGGTAGAAGGGGACTTCAATATCCTCGAGTTTCCGCACGCGGCCAAACACAGCCCAAACGCATTGATCAGGATACTCGGTCGTAGCAAGCAACTTGGGGAAATCAACCCTGTTAGCCACCAGCTCTTCATCAGTCCGCGACCCATCCTGCTTCCCCGCCTGATACGGAAGAACAATATTATTGAACCAATGCGACTGGAAATTGTTACTGTAGATGCCCCCCTTCCGCGCCGCGTGGTACATGTTGCATTGGGACTCGTAGGACAGGACGCAGGTGAGATGTGGGGGCTTTTGCATGGCTGCCCAATAGCCGACCATCCCGTAGTAGCTGATTCCGCTGAAGGCGACTTTGCCAGTGCACCAGGGTTGCGTGCCGGCCCATTCGGTTATGTCGTAGAGGTCTGGCCGTGATATGGTCAGCTCACTCATGGACTGTATTAAGTGGGTGAGCATCCTGCTTTACCTTGTCCTTCTGCATCCGCATCAAGAATGACAGATCGCTCAAGACCGAACGGGTCAAGTCTTCCTTCACTCCCTCCGATACCGCGCGTGTCGACGCGAAGAAGAGCGTAGCCGTAGTCTCGGCACTATCTCGCATACACTATATCAGTCTCAAGGCACAGCATTTCAACAGAAATATGGAAGAAATATACCCAGATCGTAGGCTCACATAACTCAAACACAGCATCCGGACCCAACGGGCTGATATGTTTATATATCTCCGCATAGATCGGGGTCTTGGGCAACCCAAACGTAGAGGCATGGATATCTTTTCCGTACGGTCCCATGCTGCAGATTACGGGGACTTTCTGGCCATCCTTCGATGCAGAAAATGGAAGGATTAAATCCGCGCATAGCTTGATGCCATCGCGCATGGGGATGTAGATGTGCTTGATGCGCGTGTAGCCTGCGACATCGACCGTTGAGGTCTGAAACCTGGACTGGCCGGACGACATGGTAGACGGGATAAGAGAAAAGGATGATTTCGGAGATTACTTCTTGATGTATATATCATATTTATTATTTAAAATATGGAAGAGGGTGTGAGGGTGGGGATGAGATGGTTGGTGGGGATGAGATGGTTGGTGGGGATGAGATGGTTGGTGGGAATGAGATGGTTGGTGGGGATGAGGTGGTTGGTGGGGATGAGATGGTTGGTGGGGATGAGATGGTTGGTAGGGATGAGATGGGGAGCAGTTGAGTTGAGGAGAGTGCTGGATCCATGGATGATGTGGGTCGGTACACAAGTGGACACTCGGAATCTATCCACACGGTTCAGTTCCGTCCATGATTCTTCCCTCGACTTCAGAATGCCGCTGACAAAGCGCCAAACATACAAATGAATGGGCTCGGATAACAGGTTCGGCAGATCAGCTTGTCGTATAAAACCATACGAATGATATTTTTCTGCGTAAACTATCAATGACTGCGTGTATCTGGAAAAAAAAAAGACAAAGCTTAAGCTAAATAAACTAACTACAAGCTGACGTTCTGTCGATATAATATGAACGTACTGAATTATACAAACCAATATATATTAGGATTCGAAAGATACACAGTAGTAATACTTAGCTTTAACTATAGTTACCTTAACTGCTTAGTTATGTTGGCTGATGGGCAATCTACACCACGGTGGGGTGTTTCGCGGGGTGCGCCACCGTTCACGGGCGAGCCAATGCACGCTATTGTTAGGAAATCTACTTGGCTAGGTTTGCCTTACTACACCTGAAAGTATGGATATTTCCCATACTGACAAGTACGGTATTAAGTACTATTAGTAGCTGTAGTTACCACTCATATTTTGCGCAACTACAGGATGTTCCAAAAATCGCCCGCTGTGGTGGGTCTAGTCCTGAGATGGACAGAAAGCTATCTTCGTTGTTGGCAGGACATCCAAGGATACATACTTCCAATGCCACGGATGTATCCGCCCTCGTTAAAGTATGTTTTGGAGATGCCGGCAAATGCATTGACTTAAATTGTTTCTTTGCTGCGTACGTGCTTCTTCTATCGAGCTGGTACGCTCGAATAGCGGATAAATGGCTGACCTGAGTCAGTAAGTTGTGGAATATTAAATACGCGAACGATCCCCAGAGGTATCGTATGTTGAACAGAGAGATACTACACCTGCCAAGTACTTCTTCGCTAGATGGATAGACACGATAGTGTATAATACAAACAAGCCTTTCAACAACTGCTCCGGTTTCCCACTCGAACCCGAAAAAAAAAAATCCACTTATAGTTTGCAAGGAATAACCTCGAACCCATACGGCTTAACAAACCAGTGATTCTGCCCAGCCAGCGCATCCTGTCGACTCACAAGCTCAAAGTCGAAATTCCGCACCAGCTGCGGGACCAGCTTGCCAATCTCCAGCAGACTGATATTCTTGCCAATACACGTCCTGGAGCCCAGGCCGAATGGAAGGAAATATTGATCCATGCTGCTTGTCTGCGAGCTCTCGGTTTTATCCTTGTCCTTATCTTGGCCCTGGCCTAGCCACCGTTCAGGTCGGAAGACGTGCGCATCCGTGCCGAAGATGGATTTGTTGTAGTGCGCTACCCACGGGTTTATTCCGACTACTGTCTAGAATGAGATGAGATGGATTAGTTTTAACAATGGTATGAAACATCGACGCGGTATAGGTAAGGGATTCGGTACTAAGTACTCACCCCTTCCCGGAAAAACTCGCCACAAAGCATGGCCCCGCCTGCAGGCACCACACGGACAAGAGGCAGCCCCACAGCCGGGTTTATGCGCAGGGCCTCCTTGATCACAGCCTGCAGGTAAGGCAGACTCTGGCTTTGTGCAAAAGTAACGGGGTCGGAAATGGTGCCATCGGCCGCCGCGGCGTTGATTTCCTCCCGCAGCTTCGCCAGGCAGGATGGGTTGCGCGTGAGGTGGAAGATGATTGAGGAAAGAGCAATGGCGGTGGTGTCGCTTCCCGCAAAGATGTTCTGCACGCATCCGAAGAGAAGGTGTGTTGAGGTAAAGGTCAAAGGGTCCCGGTCATGGGCCGTTAGGAATTTGCGGAGGAAGGCTTCTGTTCGTGCGGGGTTATTGTCGTCGTTGTTTTTGTTTTCTTGGATCGGCTTATCGTCTTTTACGGCCTTTGGTTTTGCCTTTTCCTGGGAGATTAAATCCTTTATATAGTCGATCATGACTTGCGCCGGGGACTCAGCGACGCGGACGATGAGGGCATGGGCAGAGGGGAAGAGACCCATTAGGGCGCTGTACAGATTGCTCTGGTCCAGCTTTGCAATCATGTTGTTGATGTCTTCTGCCCTGTCAAGGTACCCGAATGCTTTGCCAAACTAGATATTTCCCGAAAGGACGAACCTGGACGTTAGCCAGATAGTAACGAAAAACCCGGGCAGTCCAATTCTTCTTGTTTCACATACCGTAATGTTGCCAATCACGTCAAAAGCATAATACTGCAACCAAGCACCCATATCCAGCGCCCGCCGCGCCCCGAAAACGCCTCGAGCTGCCTGTAGAAAACCCGGATACTGTCATCAACATACCCCTCGTAATGCACCATCGACGTCATGGAGTAATACTTGGCAAACTGCCGCCGAACAACCCCATGCGCCTTGGCATCCTGCATGGCAAAGAGATTGACGCTCCAGACTGCCGGCGCCGTCCACGAGGAGTACCAGTCCGCCTTGAGAAACTTGGTTCCGTGCCCATAGATGGTCTTTGCGGCGTCTATATCGTCGATGCTATACATGTTTGGCGCGATGCGGACGATTTTCCCTGTGCAGGGGTGAAAAATTGGATAATTAGCCCATTAGTTTGGGTGGACTTGATATGAGTAGAGTAGGGAATCTTGCTTGCAGCCCGAGTTCCATTCGAGAAGCTCTGATTTCAAGCTAGACCGAGTGCAAGAAATACTAGGGATAAGGGAAGAAAAAAAACACACCGTGCTTCTCGTGTAGCCGGATACTTTCATGATGGAACTCTCCTTTATATATCTTGCGGAGATACCACAGCGCCGTGTATCGTGTTACAGTGGGGCCTGGAATGCTTCGGAGAGGATCCCGGATGAGGCCTATGACCCAGGAGACGGTACAGATTATGGTGCCGAGTAGAGACAAGAGCAATATGGTTCGCGGTTGGGCAATAAGAGCGAGAACATTATCTTCGGTCAGGGCCATCTTGCTCGCAAAAGGGGTCAACGTAGCGTTTCAGCTGTAGGAGGAGGGCAAGGGCACGGCAGTGAGTCTCAGTTATACTGGGGGAGGTTTGGGTTGGTTGTTGGGGGGGGGGGGGGGGGGCGGAAGAGAAGAGAGGATGGGGGATGGTTCATAGATAAAGTGCAAAGTGGAATTAGGGGACGGATTAGGCTATTGAAGCTTTTAAATAAACCATTGTGCCCAGAAGATATTACTCCTTTCCAAAGTGCGGGGTGCTCTGGTGCGGAGACGGCCTGGGATGGATTTGTTGGGGGCGTGAATGATCTCTCCCTGCCTTCTCGACTAGGCTTAACAACGTCTACTCAATAGTAACCCTGATAATTTTGCCGCCGTCCACGGGTCCATCTTGATACTGCCAGGCGAATGATCGGCAGTTGGATCATTATCTAAGCGGAACTCTGTAACTAAGTTCAAGCCAACAAGGCCGTTCACCCCATATGGACCCCACATTATGACGCATTACAGTATCCCCAACCCCGCACTTTGACGATAGCCAGAGAGCGGTACATGTGGGGTGAATTTCCAACTACCGCGGCAGGTTGAGTCGCGTGACGGAATCCATATTGCTTACTGGATCTAACCGGTCTTTCACCGCCTCTCACATGTGTGAGTGAGCCTGGTAGACAACCTTCCCAACGGCGGCTGCTGGCTGGTGAGAGCGTCGGCTAAATCTGTAGGCAAACCTTGAAGTAATCCAGTATCATCTATGGTCAGCGGGCATTTGAAAAGTTGTCGGCTTGCTCTCCGCACACCCCACAGCTCCTCAGGGACTAGGTACAGATAATGTATGTATATATTGCACAACTATAAAGACTGCAGTAGGCTGATTCGATTTCCGTGCCCATTTCCCTCCTTTGATCCACAACAACCTGTCCAACACATCTCGCCATGGCGTCCACTTTCCTGCAAAAAGTCACATCTCTCCCCAAGGTAGTCACAGTCACCGGAGCAGCATCCGGAATCGGTCTGGCCGCAGCCAAGAGCCTTGCCCAACTTGGCTGCGCCATATCTCTCGCAGACATCAATCTCGACAAGCTAGAGGAAGCAGCGGCAGCAATCAAAGCCGAAACGCCCGAGGCCAGGGTCCTAATTACTGCACTTGACATTCGTGACTAGACCTCGCCACGACCCGCGGGTCACCCTGACGACCCGGACCACGACCCGGACCTCGGAGGGTCCTGGGTAGTGAGTCCCGACCCTGACCCTCCATGAGGGGGGGGTCGTTGAAAGTGCCCCCCGACTCTCAGGGCCACGACCCGACCCTCAGGGCCGTAAAACAATGCAAACACCAGCATGTCGCGCGGTGCACAAATTATGTAGGTTTTAGCTGTATTTTTGAGTATCTCACTTACAGCAGTTCTAGGCTTACTTTGCTACCTTTGATCACTTTGAATGCATTAAACAGATAGATTGAAAGGATGAACTGAATAGATGAATTGAACGCATTAACTATATATCCAATATTTCATATCCATCAAGCAACCTTGAACGCTTGCGAACTCTACCAGATACTCGGTGCTGTATCTCTGGCAGGCATGTCACTTCACTATCATCTTCCTGGTCACCTCCTGTATCCTTGGCTATACTGCTTAAGCGTCTTTTGCCAAGTGCGTTTGTAGATAGGCCTTGTGAAGCTGCTTGGCCAGGCGAAGTTGCTTGAAACTCTGTAGAAGGCCCCTCATCCTCTTCATCATCACTGATTGGATCAACGGTGATATGTTGCTGTGTTCTCTCTTCCTTTGCAGCCTGTATCTCCTGGGCTGAAAGATATTCAGACAGCATTATTCGCTCCTCTTCAAGAATCTCGAAACGCGACGTGCACATATACATCATAAGATCCGAGATTGTTTGAGGCTGTAGAGAGCCCCGCCGATAATGACAAATATCTCGCGCAGAGTTGAAAAGCCGTTCTACTCCTGCACCACTAGCTGGAATCGAAAGAATATCCCGTGCAAGCCTCGCCATTCTCGGGAATTCATCTTGGTGATATTTCCACCAAGTTCGAGGCTGAGCATTTGGTACTGTGTCTGAAAGAGAAATAAGTAATAAATTCTGTCGAAATTAAGAGAAACTTACTACTATCAAGATACCTTGTCAGCTCGTCAGATTGAACTCGCTGTGGAATCTGCGATTGCTGCGACTCGTCTCGAACACATGCTAAATCAAATTCATCCGTTTCTGGAATCATTAGAGGAGCACCTAATGTCAGCTGCTCCCGCGCAAGGTTCTCAGAGTACTTTTCGAGAGAGGACTCAAGGCTCTGGCGATAGGTTGCTCGGTAATCAATTCCGCCTTCCTCTGGGTCCCAGTCGGCGGTTGAGAAAAACTGAAGTTTATCCTGCGGAGAAAGGATTGTGCCAATGGCATAGAGATCGCCATCCATATTATCAGTGTCTTTATAGTAGACTGAGAGCTTGCTTTTTGCCGCTTCGAGTGACATAAGCATTCCTTGCTTCCAAGCGACCCTCTTCCGTCTAAGCCGTCTAATCGACTTTTCTATGTGATCAAATAGCTTATTGTAGACCTTAAAGACCCGGTGGATAGTGACGTCCTTCGACTTTGAAAGAAGAGTTGTGAATCGGTGAAAAGGCTGAAGGATGCAGATAAGATAGTCCACTTGTCGCCACTGCTCCTGACTTAGGGCAAAATGTTCTTGGTCGTACTGTGTACAGAAAGCATCGAAGGTTTGCTGGAGTTTCTTTGCGCGGACAAGCATTAAGAACGTGGAGTTCCATCGAGTAGCAACATCCTGAATTGGCACGAGCTTTGGCTCCTTAGTTTGTAAGTTGTAGAATGACTCTCGGCGCTGCGGACTCGCGTTGATATAGATCGCAAGGCTTCGAACCTAAGAGACAGATTAGGATAATGAATGGTAGAAAAGTTACGATATCTCACCTTATTTAGAGTGTCCACGATCTCGCGTTTCTGCTGTCTTGCACGAAGACTATCCACCCGGTCATCAGACCATGCCTGTTCAGCTACATCATTCTTTGGAGCAGCGTTCATCTTCCCAAGGAGGTCTTTAAGGCTTAACTGGATCACATGGGCAATACACGGTATCCGAATAATAACGACATCGTTGGCGGATTGTAGTGACTCAATCGCGTCGTGGACACTTGCCATAAGGGTAACGTTATTTGAAGCGTTGTCGGTGGTTACCGTAAGCACTCTATCTGTGATCTGATACTCCTGTAGCAGCTTGAAGAGCACTTCACTCAGATTTGCACCTGAATGAGATCCATGTAAGTGTTCGAATCTGAGTAGTATCTCATTGTACTCCCAGTCTTCGTCAAGAAAGTATCCCGTAATCGCTATAAATGCCTGCTTAAATGGCGATGTCCAGCAATCTAGAGCAAGTGATAGCTTCGCACCAGAAGGGAGTCTCTGAAGGATACTCTTTTGGTTCTCACGGACTAGGTCTCGAAGCTGCCGGCGCATAACCTTAGCAGAAGGAATTTCCGGCATTGACGGTGCAAGCCGGGCGTAGGAGATAAGATCACGGAACTCGGTGTGCTCGAGAAACAGAAAGGGGAGATGCGATACAGCAAGAAGCTTAGCAAGCTTCTGCTGCCAAACTCGCTCATCGAATCTTCGTACCGTCGCATTCTGCGCCTAAACGTCGAGGTCAGATTTAGGATCGTCACGGTTAGAGTTAGGTCTTATCTATACCGCATGCTCTAATGCAAGCTTGATATTTGGTTTCTTCCCTGCAGCTGAGGCAGCTTTTCGGCAATTTACCCCATTATAGTGCTTATTCATTGAGGTCGTCCCTGAATGAGCCCAGCCAGGGTGATCAAGCACCTTCCGACATTGATGGCACATAACCCCAGGCTTTCCATCTTTTTCAAACGCGACTTGGTCAAAGTTTTTCCAGCACTGGGCAGCTCGTTTTGTATCCCAAGATATCTGTTTCTTTTGGCCAAAATCGGTATGAAGCCACCACTGCACGAATTCGCTACCCATTTCCGGTGAGTATAAGATGTACGATCTGATCCGATCGGGGCAAATCCGTGGAAGACAATCAGGTGCCGCTCGATGTAGAGACGAGGGAAGGGAGGTAGTTTGACTTCCAGATGGGATAGAGGAGTAAAGCTGATTTGAACTATCATTAGCAATATATTCAAGAAAATCCGAGGGAGGACCCCCATAAGCAGATGAAAAGTTATCAGAGAACTGGGACATTATGAAGATGGTTAGGAGAAGAAAAGTCTTACCTCGATCTCTTGTGCTATTCAGTAAAGAACTCAGGGGTAGTTGAGTCTTGTAGACAAGGGTCTACTTCGCAAACAAAGGAGAAAAGGTGATATATCATATTTGATACTACCGATACTAATTGGCTAGAACAAGGATTATGAGGGTCACCCTGAGGGTTATGAGGGTCACTTTGAGGGTCGTGAGGGTCACCCTGAGGGTCGTGAGGGTCGCCCTTAGGACCCTAGAACTCTGGAGTCACATAATTGAACTTAATCGACATATTCTGCTTAATTTTAGCGTAGCATAAGTGTTTAGAGAGTGAATACAATATATCAAATACAATGAAGTCAGGATTTCCAGTGGTTTTAGGTTATATCCAGAAAAATGTTAGCCGTCTCTGGATTGCGGTGCGACTACGTTCTGCACTCAAAATATATATTTCCACATCGTGATTTGCCAATCTCTCCAATTCTTTACAATACATACCACAACGGTCTCCCTTAGACCTGAGAATCTGTCAATTGAGTATTACCAAGCAAGAAGACCTGAAGACATATTTCATAAAAATACACAGGGGTCGGATAGAAAAAGATGAATTAAGTGTGTGACAGACGAAACAGGTATAAGAAACAGTAATTTATTGCTATCTGTCAGCAAATTTATCCATCCTAATCAGGGAAGGTGTGAAGAATTTATGCATATGCGGGTCGTGAGGGTAACTTGGCGGGTGACCCTCCAAAGATTTTATGACCCTCAGGTGCGGTGAGGGTCGTCAGCCTACGACCCTCCCCCCGGAGGGGGCGGGTCAAGGGTCGCGAGAAGGGACCCACGGTCCGGGTCATGGCGAGGTCTACTTTTCACCCTTCGAAGGGATTGCTCCTCCGCACCGTGACGTGTGTCTTTTGTAAGAAGGAGCCGTAGCTTGTCGATGCCTGTTGTCATTTTGAAGAAGACGTTGCAAACGGCTTTTTCGAAGCTGCGGGGGCGTTTGTTTACCTTAAACACGGCTGGCGTGACACCACCACTGTGCACAGATGTTGCAGCTGGGCTTCGGATTTATGGATAACGTATTTCACATGCGAGTGGCCACCCCAAGCGAGTGGCCACCCCACCTAAAAACGCGTCAATTAATTAGACCTTCCTTCTTTAACCACCTACCATGCCACCAATTCGCACTCAATCTTCTCAAAATTCAATTGAGCAAGAGGGTAGGATCTTATTAGCTATCCAGGCTATTAAGAATCAAGAAATCAGCAATATTGCTCGCGCTGCTTATACTTTTAATGTGCCGCGTTCAACTCTCCGTCGCCGCCTACAAGGGGTTAAAAACCGCGTCGAATCTCGCGCAAATTCACATAAATTGACTGAAATTGAGGAGGAATCGCTTCAAAAATGGATTCTCTCTATGGACTCTCGCGGAGCAGCCCCTCGGCCTTCTGCCGTACGAGAAATGGCTGATCTATTACTCGCGGCGCGTGGATCTACCCCCTTCTTTCGGTCGGTAATAATTGGGTTACAAACTTCGTGAAAAGGCATCCCGACCTCTCGACCCGATTCTCAAAAGGCTATAATTACGCGCGTGCAAAATGTGAAGATCCTCAAATTATTTCCGAATGGTTTTGTCTCGTTCAAAAAACGATCCTTTCGTACGGTATCGATCCTGACGATATCTATAACTTTGATGAGACCGGTTTCGCAATGGGCTTAATCGCGACCGCGAAGGTTATTACGAGGAAGGAATACTACGGTCGGCGATCGCTTTTACAACCCGGAAACCGCGCGTGGGTGACTACAATCGAGTGTATAAACGCGTCGGGGTGGGCGCTTCCTCCGTGCGTGATTTTTAAAGGCAAAGTCTTTATCGAATCTTGGTTCGATAGCCTTCCGGGCGATTGGAGACTCGAGGTTAGCTCTAACGGGTG